AGGCATTTTGGATACAGGTCACCAGTCCCAAAATGAAATCGTAGGGAAGAATGTCTCGCCATCACGCGGGAGCTGCGGCCTTATATAAGGCTGGCCTTCCCGCAGAGACTCCATTGAGGACATACTCCAGCTAAGACTGGTCGGTTGGTAACATCAACTGCTGGGTGGTTTTGAAGAATCCACGAAGCTACGGTGACTGCTTCTCCTCTCGATCATTTGCGTGCTCTGGGAGGTCTCGAACCTCGGTGAGTTGGTGGAGACGTTCGATTGGATAGTCACAGAATGTTATGATTCTTTCAGGCTCTGAAAAAGGCGTTATCATCGAAACGTCAGCCTAATAAAGCTTATTTACCAACCTCGTGAAGAGTTCAAGAAAACAATAAACTGAACAATATATTATAGTAATACCGAGGTTCATAGAAAGCCGTACTTGGAATTTAACACACAACAAACACACCACAAACCAACAGACACACTTAGCGAATTATATATAGTACGGATAACATGCAGAAAGAACTCAAGAAAAAGGAGTGCGGACAAAAGTCTCTATAACAACAGAACCGAATAAACAAAACTACAATAAAGAACATCGAAGGGACTCCTTCCAAAAGTACAAAAACAGTGAGTGCACATGGCTGTTATGAGAATCATATGTATAAGAGAAGACTATGCAACTGAGCCTTTTATTGTATAAAAGAATGAAGGCTAAAGGCTTCGGGCGTTAATCACTCTCGTCTGGGAAACACGCTCCCGCATTTGACTTCCATTAAGCATCGATATGGCGTATTGAATGCATATGTTGCCTATTTAATGGCACTCGATGGCTAGCCGTTGTACGGAACTTTTATACTCCCAGCCGTGTCTGGTACCAGTTGAACAAACCTGGATGGATTAACGAAGACGATGTTGATTGGTATCTGATGCTCCTTCCACGCTGAACGGAACGTACATCTCTGAATGTATAGCTATGTATGTGTATCGAGGTCGCGAAGTCAATATGACGGACGACTCAGCACCAGTGTTGAGCAGAGGGAAACGCGGCCCGCGGGGAGCATTCAAGAATATCGAAGGAGTACTCGTAGTGAAGAAATGAAGAACATACGGCTTTGCGCTCACCTTTTCGACACTCTGGTCCTTCTTGCTTTGACATACGCCTCGGAGACCTGCACTCTACGGAAGCAGGATGAGCGTGCTGTCAGCGTTAGTCAACGCGCTTTGGAAAGGGCGATGCTCGGAATTTTCTTATACACTCAAGTGCAGAAGGGAATCCGGAGTTCCGAGCTCCGCCATCAAAGATCAGGGATGCCGCTGATTACGCCAAGAAATCGAAGATCAGGCGGGGCGTACACGTTAGCGATAAAGTAATGACCATTGGGCCAGAGCGGTTACTCACTAGATTCCTCGGGACGTCAAACGAACACCAGGACGGGACGACCTCCGGCCGGTTGGTGGGACTTCTTCACGAAAGCTCTACGCGAAACTCCGTGCCCCTCGAGCAAGTACGATTCACTGGACTAGTCTGAATCATGACAGGGACGAATGGAGACTTTACTGGCGCCCGCTCGAGGGAATCGATGATCAAGGGGACGACAGGTCATAGGTGATAGGCGAATATTTGAAATTCGAACCCATGACACAATGCGTGTGTGATAGTGGGCCACTTAACACCACATTACCCCCTCCCCAACTGAGGAATATAAGCGCCCTAAAAAGCGACGAAATGTTGAGGTGTAGTATATAATAGTATGGTAGTTTTACTGAATTCAATAGCAGCATGAAGTGAAAAAATTAGCGCTCATACTGGATATCGCACTGAGCGGAAAGAGCTCAAACCTATCCCCTCTAGTGGCAGGCGAATGAGAGCTGATTGAAACATCCATACTCAAACGAGATCAACAAATCTCCCTCCGCCTACAAAACTGAGAATCAATTCCTATGATTTTGTCTCTAACAACTGCTTAGTTATCAGAACTGTAGTCGAGAGCACAAATGAAAAATCTCCCCACTGAACCTATTCTGAATGGATTCTAACATAGCGATTGGCTCTTCCTAACACCGATAGAAGGCCACGGATCGGTGCTGCAGAATGGTGGGCACATGCTTTGTAAGTCTTGATAAGAATAGGTGGAGCCCTTGTATACTGGCCTCGGAAAAGTTGAAAGAGCTTCACTTGAACTTTATTGGCTTTCGTCATAACATCACCGTCATATAGCTTGTGGCATCCTCTGACCTACATAGGGGAAGAATTGAAGATCTATCTGGAGAGAGGACGACTTCCACAACTTCGACCATTCGACAATTCCTTCAAAACTCCTTAAGTCAAGGTAGCATGAATCTCTGACACTATTCTTGTGTAAATTTGCACATATTCACCCATAACCTAGCATTTCACATATTTCTCCTAATCAAATACATACATGCTGTAGATCGTACGTATAAATGCAAGACAGCACCTGTGCTAGCATCCTTCCTCGCAGAACTCCGCTACGCGCTGGGCGAATTTCAAAGTGATGAAGCTTGTGAAGGAGCTAATGTAGTCTACCTTGTGGAATGCGAAAATAAGAGTGAATCACATCGGCATGTTTGCCCTGCTTTGAAGTGGTCATCCAGTTGTTTTAGCAATTGGGTCACCATTGACTAAGCTTCGTTGAAGCCCCACTGACAGTCTGGAAAAAACACCGATTTTCCATTCCAGATGCTCCACGATGAACCTTTTGACTGTTTTCTCAGATTCCGTTCAAGAAACAAGGTTGTGCTCACAAGCCCGTCAATGCTCAGGTATGAATGCGAAAGCTTCTTTGAAATCAGAAATTTCACCATAACATTTCGTTATGGCATTCTCCTCCTGAGCAACCCAGTTCAAGAAAGGCTTAAATTCAGAATAATCCAAAGGACCGACAATCGAAGGGGAAACCCTGCTGGTGAAGAATGAACCACAGGCTTGGGTCGAAATGGATTTCTGTTCTGGAATAACATTCATTTCGCGTTCATTGAACCGACATGAACTTTCCTTTTCTAAAAAAGCCCTTAATGATGAGTATAATGTTGCTGAGAGTAATGCTGTAACAAAGAACAAAACTTAGGTTTAATGAGGATAATGAAGTAGATTTACATAGTAATCCAGCGTCGAGCACGTGTAGCGTCGAGGGCCCCTCCAATTCGGGTCAGTCCAATAAGTGGTTAATGGGCTGTTGCGACACGTGTTTCGCCCTTCAGTGCGAACGCCTCGATGGATAAAACTTTAAAGCGACGTTACCCAGTTCTACTCAGCTTGGCAGCTACGATAAAAGTTATGTTCAATCGCACAATAAACTTCAAATGATTGATTAAGAGTCCTGGAAGCCATAAGAAACACTGGCTGAAGGAGACCGGTTCCACTAACTTCTTCTAAGAAGAGGACGCTTGTTTCAATCTTTAGGCCCTTTTATGCTCATGCATAAGAAAGCGCAATCAAAGCTTAGTTTTTAGAGACTAAATGCAATTATCGCACCGTCTGTGTGGTTCAGTCTTATTCTTTCAGCGTAACTGAACTGGCCTTTCGTGACAGCCTTCCAAAAATGCCTTCAATCGATGATCATTCATGAGCGCCGTTTGAGTGGCATCCATGAATTTCCCATCATCAAAAAACGTCCACCTAAACTGGTGGTGGGAATAAGTTGAAGAGGCAACTTTTTTGAGCCGTACCGCTCTTTGATTTCTATTGTTCTTTATGGAAACCTCGTTGGCAATGCCAGCGCTTTCCTACCAGCGAGAGCTTTTTCACCGGTAGTCAGAAACCGCACAACGTTCAATCATTTACTTTTTTAGTTTACTATCAAGTGCGCAAGTGGAACGGAACGAATCGTGTGCGCGAAAGTGTTTTTCCATAGTGTGACTATGTTGCGAAAAAGGTTCCTTAGCAAGTATTTCGCAGCCGAAGAAATCCTTTGAACGTTAAAAACAAGGATGATCTGATCAAGATGGTAGTTCCTTGCTTTGATACATCTGAAGACTGCTGATGAAAGGATAGCTTACGATTGCCACTGTGAATTTATGAAACCTGAAAAGGAAAAGGCATCCCATCACCTTGTTCTGAACAAGAGGAAAAATTTGATGGCCGTGTTGAATTATATACTCTCAGCCATAGGAGGACGCTGAGAGTTGAGTATGCTTCCAGCTCGCAATATTGTTTTCTTATTGTTAACGGTTGTAGCGATGACTAGGATGGTGGACTAAACATCTGGATTATGGATTATGGATTATCAATTCTCAGTGTTATGTTCGAGACCACTCTCATATCTTAACAACTCTCAGCTACTGTTTAATGGTTTTAAGTGTGACGCTTCTTTGTAGCACATAGGTTGCAATGAACAATTTATTTGCATAGAATCATAAACATTTTTAGGCAGCTGTTGATTCAGGATGTTGAACGAGAACGAGGTGTAATGTTCAATGAAAACTATTAATGCAATTCTCAGTTTGGATTTGGAATTACAGAAGAGATCGATCCCGACAACGACAACGACGCAGGATCTACTGCCAAACTACCCAAAATCTAATCGACGTTTTACATTTAATGTTTGTCCCGCTATTTAAAACTATGCATTGCCCGGTCAGCGACCAGACCAATGATGGCAGTAATGAGCATGTCCCAACGCGGCTTAATATCCGGGAGCGGTACGTGGTGGAGGGCAGTGATCGCAACTGCCACCTGATCCAGCCTGTCCGGGTGTTCCAGGTGCTCCGGGTGCACCAGGGTTTCCGGGGGGACCGTCCATTCCTGCGTCTCCTGGGGGTCCTGGGGGCCCGGGCAGTGCGCTGCCTGGGGTTCCAGGCTGTCCAGGTGGTCCGGGAGGTCCCATTGGTCCTGGTGGTCCAGCGGGTCCAGGAATACCGGGAACTTCAGTGAGCTGTCCGGGAGCTCCGGGCTGTCCAGGTGCTCCAGGTTGGCCGTCGTTTCCAGGTGGTCCCATTGGTCCTGGAGGTCCTGGAGGGCCGGGAACAGCTGCGCTTCCGTCTTGTCCGGGTGCTCCAGGGTTTCCAGGTGGTCCAGGTGGTCCTGGCCGTCCGGGTGGTCCAGCTGGGGCAGGAGGACAATCGAAGCAGAAGTCGCCAGGAGATGGAACAGCATCTGGAGCAGCATCGTTTCCGGGTGCTCCGTCCATACCAGGAGCGCCGTCCTGTCCGGGGTTTCCATCAGGTCCGGGTGCTCCTGGTGGTCCAGCAGCTCCAACACCACATGAGCAGCATGTCTGTGCTCCACCACCGCTGACAGCAGAGTCGTAACCACCGTAACTGCCGCCTCCATATCCACCGTCGTAGTTAGACGCGCCGTGGACGACCGCACGACGATGCGCGGAACGTCCGGTAACGCCGTTGCTTCTGCGTTGCACGGATGCCCTCTTGATTCGGCCGTTCACTCCTTTCAGATGCTCGAACTGAAAAAAAACACGATTTGTTACCTTTCTCTCAAAGTTGCCTTTTAATAAAAGCCCCTAAGATGGTCGCAAACGCATTCGCGAACTGGTCCTCCTACAGCGTTTGCGAAATATAGCGCCGATTTATAACACAAGGAGGCACTACTATTTATTCGCCCCGAAACCGGAAACATTAAGGACATATTCGGCGTCAAACGTTAAGAGCTCCTTAAGGCGATGCTGACGTGTAATGAGGGAATGTCCCATCTACAAAGGAATTTGGAACCCCGGGAACTGTTCCAACTAATCCAACGAAAACGTTTAACAAACAAAACTCACACGGCCGTACTCATCCCAAAGACCGTCGGTGCGGTGTCTGCAGAAGTCCACCTAAAGGCTACAAATTAGATATATTCTGAGTTCTCGCTAAGTAGGCAAATCGTACTTCGGTTTGAAGAGACGATTGCACGTGCTGCATGTAGTTGTAGAGCATAGGGACGGCAATAATAGCAGTCAGTGTGGCCACGGTTGAGATGGCGATTCCTATAATTCGAAGCATTATAGGTATATCCAAAGACATGCAGAGCGTTCGAATTCATTCGAACCCACCGAAGAATGCCAACTTGCGGAGAGACTCGACCTCATAGGCCACTACCTTCGGGTCGTCGGACGTCATCTAAAACTAAATTTTTGTAACTGGAGATTGTATAGGTAGCGGTGGCGAGGATGAAGGATGATAGAGGAATAATTTCTTGTCTACAGCGAATCAATCGCGTGCGGAAGCTCTTAGAGAAGACTCCCTCAAAAGATTCCACCCATATGAGCTAGTGCAATATCTCAAAAGAACTAGTTACACATGTCAACAGATCTCTTATTAGACAAGTTCAGTTCTAAAGAAGTAAGCTGGACGAGCTCAGAAGCCTACAGAACGAAACAATCTGGAAAACAATAAATATCAACTAGCTGTATCGACTCATCACTTGTAGTACCACATCATTATTAGTGATCACGGTGGAACATCAGAAATGCAGGAGCACATGCGTTTGACAGGAGTGGAGAGAAGAGAAATGGTCGCGAATAGGAGGGATTTCTGTAGCAACGCTCCGCGCGCCGTTCATTCTTTGTGAAGTCGGAAAAAAGAATGCAGAACGAGCTCGATCGTACTGGAAAGTAGGACGCGTATATATCAGTTCAAACAGCAAGAAACGCATCCGTGGAGGTAGCAACACAGGCCAAATAACTGCCTGACAGTGTTAAGTTTCATGGTACAATTATGCGCATGTGTTGCCGTCACTACTATGAAAGCGTTTCTGAGGCTAATTTCGCCCGGCGTACGTTTCTGAAGCAGTGAGAACCTCTTAACTGCACTTACCCAGCCACCCACAAAACACCACATAAAAAAGACACATCATGGAAAACATTATGGGAACAAGCACTAGGAGGAGTGCGTCTCGGAACTAGTCAGAACTCCTTCGAGTTCTCTGATCTAATGAGAATGGTGTGAGAGGCTGAAGCACCCGGTTCCCCATAAGAATATGCATCTCTTCTTTCAATTTCGAGAAGCTGCGATAACAAGTGAGCGTGCTACTCATTATATGACCTAGAAACGTAAAGAGTGAATACGATTGTATACCTGAGGAAGTATGATAAGTAGAAAGTAAGCTAGACAAGTGAAAAGTGAGGAGTGAAGAGTGAATGCAGTGGACGCAGTAATGAGCAAGCAGGTTCAGCAGTGGCAAGTGTTATACAAGACAGCTGAACTGTTAGACGCTGCTTCGGGCTTATTCTGGCTACAGAACCGCACCTCTTAAATAGGTAGACTTGGAGGCGTGGTCGACACCGCGCCATCTACGACGGCGGTTTCACCTTCGTGCACAACTCGTCGATCCCCTCCCCCTCATACGCAGACGTCGCTGCTATCGCGTGAAACATTAAGCTGGAAAGGGCAGTATTCATATGAAAATGAAATGGAAAGTGAAGATGAGCTTGGAGGATATGACGAGAACTTGCACAGCTCTCCTACGACGCTGACGGCATCTCGGAGTACCGTAATTAGCCGTTGACGCTCACTTTCCTAGTATCGTTGGCTGCACCGGATGCGAATGCGATCGATCGAGTCCACAATTTTTTGTCGTTAATACGAAAGCGCGTTTTGAAGTTGTGACTCGCTTTACATATGAGAATCAGCAAGCTGACGGAGGCTTATGCCTTCAACACAAGACGGTTACTGTAGCGTTAAGTGAGCTTGAGCTTATAGTGGGTGTCTATTCACTGCGAACATCGCATTCCTGATTGGATATTGGGAACGTAAGTTCAATAAGCAGCGGGTGGTGATAGGTAGGAGCTACCTTGCAAAATAGGCTTTTGCTCCCATGATGCATTAGATTACGCCAATGAAATCAAGTTGGATTATGCCAATGAAATCAAGTATTTTGCAGTGCAGATTCTCTAACTTGTGCTCTGAAACTTCCGAAAAGAAAGGGGAACAGAAGGCATCGAATCGGGCTCAACTTTCATCATACTCGGCAAATAGGGTGCATGATCCATAACCCTCTGGCGATGAAGATTGATTTTCACTTCAGCGGTGGCGTGATGGTTCCCCCACTATTATAAATCTTACCTCAGGAAGCACGAAACTTTCGTTCTGAACTCATGGAAAACCGCTCTTCATGCAGGAATTCGTGGGAGTGCAGAAGCTTTGCTCTGGTTCTGTCCTCATCAATTTCTTCTGGTGCCTCCACCCCAGCACGCCCTTCTCTCTGGCCTATTTTTTGTAATACATGCGAAGTTTCTGAGGGAATTTGTGTCTGCATTCGAATTGCCCTCTTAGTTTACTTGCCCACTGAGGCACCTTCGCTTTGTTGACATGACAGCCACTATAGTAGGACTCTCTTTGCGCCAACAATATTACCGTGAACCACGATCGCTTCCCTCATTTCAGTGGTCAAATTCTTCAGAATGGAAACATGGCTTTCACAAAGAGCAGATCGGCCTCACTAAAGCTATCGCTTCTACTTGCTTCCATGGAGAAGAGCGATGATACCACCCGGTACAACAAGTCGATTTATTCGCATAAGTCAATCACTCACTACTCGTGGCAGTTAAGCCGGTCTCAAGTCATGAATGCAGCTTAAGTACATGTATGGGCACCACGTTTTTGATTTTCACGCCATTACCATTCAGGATTTCATCGACACATGTTCATGGAAATGGGGCATACTGGGGCATGCCTGAATTTCTATGTTCGAACAGTTCAAATCAGTGATGTCTTCAGAAAACTTAATTGAGAAGCACTTAGATGGTGCTGCAGTTCGTAATTGAAAAAGGGAGCGAAGCAGTTCTGCAGGATTAGAGCTTCCCGTAATCGTATGCTTATCATTTGGGAAACTAAGTACCACTATCACCACTCAGGATGGTGGTCTTGAAACTTTCTTTTGATTCTGTTCCTTCAGCAAAGCCGTTCTAAGCTCTAAACCACTGAGTAAGAAGTCCCCTCTACCGGAGATGTCACATTGAGGGTGATCAGCTATCAGTAGTACATGAAGATCATTTCAATAGGCTCTGCACCGTTTCGACGTAATCCACCATATAGTTATATTTCAAAGGGCGACATACAGGCTGTGAAGTTCTATTTGGTTTCACGTATTTTCTATAAACATTCCAATTAGTGCAAAGGGGCAAACATTGAATACAGCTATTCAGTAATTGATTCACCTCGGTCAGAGCATCTTTTGCAACAATTATGTCGAGCTGCTCTCGTTCACCTATCGCTCTTTGTTATAGATTGCAAGTACCCAAGCGAAGGATTAATTCAACGATGTTGTCTGGTTCCCGGAAACTTCAGCGCCTTCGGAGCTTATACCTGGATCCAACATAAGTAAGGCGAATCAGTACAGTTTGATCCCCCATCGTAAGCTGTTCTCTTTACAAAGTTAGCCTAATCGACTCCATGGCACGCATTCACCTGCGATTTTTTATGTGATCTCCATTCTCTTATTTCAAGACAAAATGGAGAGTAGGATAATGGTCAATGATGAATAAGAGCTGAGCGATTCCAAAGTTTGGTAGTGTAGAACGACCAGACTGTCTTTGATCTTTCACTGAATTGGAACGCAGCTTTTGCATTAGCTTGAAGTGTTCTGCCCTATTTCCTCAAGCGTGATGAAGAAGCGGAGCAAGTCATCTCATTCAACCCAATGAAACAGCGACACGAACATGCTTCCCACTCTACACGTTCCGGTTCTGCACTTTTTTTATTACTTTACACCTGATTTTTCAATTCGAAAACAGATGTTGTGTTTCCAGTTCTCCAATTTGCATACACCAATTATGTTTACGACTAAGTATGAGATACGCAACAGAAGTGGAGATATGGTTGAAAACATTCCGGAAACTGAAAAAGGAAGGGCTAGTTTTGAGAGGCTCTCGAATATGTAAAGGGAGATATGTCAAAGAAACTAACTCGACTCCACTTGACAGTGGTCACTGTTCGTGAAATTAGATTGTAGAGAGGAATGGGATGGAAATATACAGCATAGATCCCCACACTTTTTCCCGCCAGCGACGCCATGAGCAACAATCGTAGACTTTTCACTCGAAGGCTGTGACGGCTACGGAAAAGCGGAGGATTACTTGAATGTGAGCCTCAGCTGGTCCGATTTCTTCAAGCATACAGACTGGTTCGCGCAAATGATGGAAGCAGTTCACAGCAGGGTGCCCTAATATAAGCTAAGTGGGCAGTTTACCGCGACCAGTCAAGTTTTGTAAATTTTAAAAAGCTAAAATAGATTGTAGAGAGGAATATGATATGCGAATTTTCACTTCGGTTCTGATGGAGCGAGAGTCAAATAGAAAAAAATTGTTCGGATGGTTTCTCCTTCGTTGCTCGGCGATTTCAACGATTGGAAGGCAATCATTTTGTATCACCATGGCGAACCAGTAATGCGCACCTTACTAGTCTTAAGGTTCTCGTTTCCCTCCAAAGTTCAACGGAAAAATCTCATTCGCTTCCAGATGCGATAGCTCTCGATTTCACATCACTTTTTGGATATTCCTTTCCATTCCTAGCTCTATGCTGCACTTTCCTCAATGTGGAGCTTAGTTTTTGGGCTAGATTTTTTTCGGCCAATAGAAAGCTAAAAAATCAGCATTGTGAACATAAAGGTAGCATAAAAGAATCCACGAAAAGTCTGTTTCCAGTCCACCTCCCTCATGGTCTGTTTAGGTTGACGTGATGCCTACTTTTGAGTCTGCCACCTAGTCTGTGGGTTTCCCTTATCCTATCGTTTGAGGCGGTTGGTACCACCACTGTTTGTGACTACCGGATGGTAAACGTAAACGATGTAATTCAACTATGCTATCCGTTTTAGCCGCATAGTAGCTACCCATAGCTTTACTTAGCATGTGCTTCATACCAAACTATGAACACTTAACTTTTGTACATGTATGCAGTTATAGATATTATGCAATGCAAGCGCTAGCCTTCTGGTGGTACAACTATCGTTGTAACAACCAGCTTGGTATCCTCTTTAATCGCACTTTCTCTCCTCCTCCACCGCTCCCTTATGACCTCCTTCGCACGTCTACTTCATTTGCACTTTAGTTCTCTTTCTGGGGAGCGAAAGTCCCCAAGGCTGGGAGTAGAGACTGCACTTACTTTCTATTAGTCAAGAATTT